CCCCAAAACCCCAAAACCCCAAAACCCCAAAACCCCAAAACCCCTTATAAAAGTTCCTAGATTGAATAAGCCTATTACTCAGTACATGATATGTCCAATAAGGTTTATCTCCTAATAGTTTTCTCAAGATGTTTTTTGATCTGAACTAAAGCATCCAACTGCTTAGTAGCCCTGTTGTTGACCAAAGCAGTTGGAATACTTCCCTTAGGATCCCCATTTTGGATAGTTTGCACAAGGATTTTATCATCTCCCATCGGCGTAATGAGATATACAGACAGGTCAGCATGAGCTCTCACCTTCTTTCTCCTCTCAGGCATCTTGGGGTGGTTGACTGAGAAGCTCACTATCGCGAATCTTCCATCTGGTAGGGTAAATCAATGCTTAAATAGAGAGAAATCTCTGTCTGATACGACTATATTTCCCTTGAATCAGTGGTAAATATAAGATGACTCGTTCTTAAGATCCTCTACTATTTTAGTCTCTTTCAAGTTCTCATTCAGCTTTGAGAATCTGATTTCATCTTTGAAGAAGTCACAGGCAGGTATGTGTGGTACATTGATCTCAATCTCCCTGAGGATGGCATTAAGCCCGGATTTTTTATCAGAGTTGCTCCATAGCTTACCACTGCCACCTTTGTACTTGATCTCTTTCTCCAGTTTCCACCCAGGCTTCATGATCATCTGCTGGTAGTCCAAGAACTTGTGCTTGGCTTTTAAGATATTATCTTGATGTTTTTGCTCGAAATGAGAAATTGATGCCTTCAGTTCCTCATTTATGAGATCTTTAGGCAAAACATTCTTATAAATATCATCTCCTATTTCAGTGTTATTAGGGTAGAAATTAGGAATCAAAGGGGAGAAGAGTAGATACCTGTCCTCGCAGCAGTCAGATGAGCTTTCAGCATCCCTAATCTCTTGATCACTGTGGTTCTACCTATTTGTGATAAGATGATGTCACTTTTTCACAGCAACGGGTGTTTTTTAACCAGTTTACTTGTAAGATAAAAATATCGTCAAACGATAGAAGATACTGAGTAAGTTATTCTAGAGAGATCTCTATTATGTATTCCTTTCTTGTCACGACTACCATAATACTTACTTTTGAAGTGTTCCATATCTCTAAAATCTTGTAAAATATTAATTAAAAGGGGTTTTGGGGTTTTGGGGTTTTGGGG